TTGCTTAGATCAAAAGTAATGCAAATGGCATACAAAATTTCAATCCCTATTTCATCTCTTCTAAGGGTGCGTCCATATCGGGCGAATGCGCCGCGAATGTGCCGCTCACGAGCCGTTTGCGGACTGCCCGCGAGCTGCGCGTGTTCAGTCATGGGAATGGTTTAGTGCAGAATAAAATCCAACCAAAAATATTCTGTTACCAACCAAAAACTACTCAAGTCTCGATCTGCTCGTTCATCTCTGAAAAGTCATGAAATCTAGACAAAGCCTTATGAAGTCTAAGGATTTCTTTATTATTATAGTTAATATTGAGTGACTTGGCCGTTGAACCGCTACCCATTGAACCAGAATAAAATTTACTAAGTCCAAATAAATTGTTCCAAAAATATCTTTTTGTGTCGAAATTAAGAAATAGGTACTGTAGGGTGTGGTATACCATTTTAGAATCCTTATTAAATGACGAAAAGAAGAAAAAAAAAGAAAAGAAGAAAACACTACTACCGCAGTACAATTTTTTTTTTTTTTCAGTATAGTCAATTAATGTAAACTCATAAGTTTATTAAGAACACTTGGTAATACGTGTATCTTTTCCGAACTAAAGCAGTTGGCTCAGAATTTACGGTTCCACAATACTGAAGCACTATTCGATATAATACCTAAGTAAGTAAAAATTCAGATGAAAAAATAAAGAAATGTAGCATTAAGAGTCAAAAGACTGGCACAGAGTGTGCTTTTTTGTGGATACAAACATATAAGTCATTGTAATTTAAAAAGAATATGACTTTGAACTTTTTTAATATTTTTCTGATAACTATTGGAACCTTGGAGATCACCTGGTGTCATTTGATTATATTATATCATATTAATGAATTTTCACTACTGCCGACAGTCGGAGGGCAACCCGTTATTTTAGGATAGATAACTGTAGCGATTATTGTAGAGCTACATTTGACGTTAAATCATTTTCAGGTAACAAAAGAAACTGATGGTCAGGAGCTCCGACCCCTGATAGGGCAACGTAAAGTTGTCTACCTATGGGTAAACCAGTTCCTACTCGTTAATTTGAATGATCGTTATTTATCGTTGGTGCGAAATCGTAATATTTTAATTTCACCATAACTACAAACCAAACGTCCAATTTTAATCATTTAAAGATCAAATATTATCTTGATAAGGATTAAAAGCATAACTAAAATAAATCAGTTTAAATGTATACCGAAAATTACTATTCATAAAAAAATGGTTGTTGTGCCTCACTCGACATGGATAGATATAGGGTGCCGTGGACTTTTTTGTAGACACTTATAGGATCTACAATTAATGAGAATATTTTATGGTTCTATCTTTTATAGTTTAGTTGGGCAGCGTGTGCAGAATAAGTAACTTTTCTGGTTGATTTTTTACACCTTGTCTCCGAAAAATTCAAATATCTTACAGAACCATATTTTTTACAAATTATATTAAGCCTGTTTTACTCACGGATATTGTAGCTTTCTAGTGGTAAAAGAATTATTAATGTAAAAGTTTTTTGAGTCTATTTATTACAAACAAACAAATAAAATTTTCCTCTTTATAATATTTGTGTAGACAGTGTAGACAAATGGCATAAAACCAATAGGAAACGAAATATTTGCAATAAAAATGTAAGTAAAATACCGTTTTTTAACTATGAATAAAAAAATTGTACAGTCGCGGACGCCCTACGATATGTAGGTTTGGGAATTAGTTCTAAGATCTCAAAATAAAGATTTAGGACAAATTTTTAGCCGACTATCTCACATTCTTAGGTGAAACTCTTATTAAGTATTCTAGGCTAAGTTGTCATAACAGAGCATAAATTGAAAGAATAGACCGCATGATTGGCGCTGAGCACGTACCTCATATTGTTGTTATACGATGGGAAAATAATAGGACCAATGTACTACGTTCGTAAATAGATATAAAGTATCTCGGTAGGTAATTCCTTCAAAAAAAAAAACGGAGGTATAACTTATATTTGCTAAAAACTTTAATTAAAGTTAGTTGATCTTAAAACTACAACGATCAATCAAATACAGAAATCAACCTTCGGCCCTGGAGTTAGTTATGAGAAACAATAATAAAAATAACCAATTTTAAAATTTAACCGCTTAAATGCCTGTATATGAGCGTGAGACACAAAAGAAAATACGTTGAGTCTCGCGTGGATCTATGTCTAAACATAGACACACGACGGGTTAAAGAATTGCAGTCATAACTAGAATATCTTTAACCCATTGTTACAAACACGCACTTGAACACACCACACGGGTACACACAAACATTGACTGTGCTATGGATAACCCACCTTAGATTGCCCATACAAAAAATATTATAATATGACTATGACGGAAATCTTCTAAAAACGTCATACGCTAACGGACGCGGGTTGCAGGTAGTAAAACCAATTTCGTTGATCTGGGTCAACAGTTTTTTTTTTAAATCAATAGATATAATTTTATTTCACACATTTGCTTTTGTCAACACCCCGCAATCCCTACATCCGTTTGCTCACAATTAGTAAAAACTGACGCTCTGCCATTTCGGTTGCAGTAACTACCGGAAAAAGGAACCCTGTATGTTTTAATCCAGCTTTTTTTTAAAGGGACAAATCACAACCTCCCTAAATCGCTGCAACTCCTGTAAGCCAGGATCTACAGTAGATACGAAACACCAGAACACTGAAGTCCGGCGCGTCCCAGGGACATGAATAACTGTCTTGATTTCCGCAACGAAGTGATTCAGAAGATATTATAAGAGGAGAAGAAAAAAATCGATAGTTTCCATTTCCCTCGGTGAAGTACTGCAGGAGACAGAATGAATTTAATTCAGCTTATTTTTAAGATAATTATGATAGACAGTCGAAACTTGCCTTTAAAATATGATACCCACAATGTACCAGTTATGTAATAAGTACCCATATTATGAATACCGTGCTAATATAAAGAATTTTACGAAAATCCGAACAAACCCTTTTGGTTACTTTTTGCCTGGGAGTCGAATGAGGCTCCTTGCTCAGAAGTCACGCGTACCTACAACCCGACTAAGGACAAATCAAGGGTCAAGACCCTTGTTAATTATTTGTTTCCTAAGTACCTTTTCTGACTTTGACAGCACGGTTGGGCGGCTATGCAACGTATTGCATGTTCGATTCCTGCATGAACTAACTGTGATCAAAAAAAAATCCACGGTCCACATAACTAGAGAATGCAATGTAAGCAATGTTCCTTTATACTGAGATTAATCTAGGTAGAAAAATAGGCAGGATATCGTGAGATTAACGAACTTGCTTTACTAAAAAATGTTTTTTTTTATTTCAATCGTTAATAGATAGTTTCGTTCCTACACAAAAGCGCAGAAGTAGTAAACTAAGTAAGTACTTAAAATTCATCCACGTAACGCAGAAAAAATGTTGCAATTACAAAAAAAAAGCTACTTTATGTGGGCGAGGTTAATTAACGTGTGACAGATAAACATACGTACACAAATCTTTGTTATATTTTTTTTCTATGTTAATGTTTATTTATGATCCTATTTTGGTTTTATTGAGAAATATTGAATGAACAACACCTCCTTTTTGTTGTTTTTAAAAACCTTTAGTACCTACCTAGTTATTACTAGCAGACCCAGAAACTTCGTACATTTTTTCTCACCTTTTAAACCACAGTTTTAAACCTTCCCTGGCGTTAAATAAATAAGCAAAGTTACGTTAGTTAGTTAGTTAAGGACCTACGGCCCTAACTTTATCGAGTTCTAGCAAGACCAACGAATCCATTCAATCCATTTTCCAACATATTGTTGTATACTTAGATTGTTTTTCCAATTTATTTATATTGCGATTGTAGTACAAAAAATAAATATACAAAAGCGCAATTCTTACGAAATCTGGCTTGGGCCCCAATCTCGCGATATTTCCATTCCCTACCACAGTTGATGAAAAATAGAATAATACATATAATTAGGTAAGTAGTAATAGGTAGATGTTAACTGTAGGCAGTAGTATTTTTTTATAGGGACAAGCAGTGGTATACCTAGATATTTTTCAGTTATCGCTAGTGAAGCAAATATTATTTTCGGACGTTGCGCTACTGCCATGTCGCTGTTAGCTAATAAATTATTGAATAAAGAAATTTTAATACTTACTGATAGACAGCTAGTCATAGCTTCAACGGTGTCGTTTATCTGCATGTCTCGAAAACGATTTATTGATCCTTTGTATTAAAATAACTTACCGATTATGTTATACTTGTTAATTAGCTTCGCAACTGTAGACGCTGTAGTAGATACTCGTGGTTACCTATCAACAAACTTAATAAGCCAAGTCCTTTACTTGTAAGTAGGTATATAAAAAAATACTCGACAGGTAACTAAACCAAATCAAAGGCATGACTTTTATTTAAAAGTCCACTAAGTCTTGTAATACATTATCCTATTCAAGTTTATCTTATCAACTAGGTATCCTTTTCACTTCATATTCTATTTTTACATTCCTAGCTATGTTACCCGTTCATTAATAAAATATTTTTTTATTATATTATTTTTGTACCTGGAGTACAACTTTGTAACCTGTAAGTATTTACAATTTTACTATCTTCTAATAGTATATTTCACTTCAAGCTTTTCTAAAATTAGTGAACCAGTCAAACAACGCATATAAATGCTAGAATCGTTGACAGATGGACAATGGGTCAGGATATAGGACGAGGGTGAGGAGTGTCACTACGGGGGCAGTACTGTGCCAGCGAGTTAAGCGCCGCCCATAGCAGTGCCCTGGGCGTACGTCGCCCCACGTCAACGTCGCGATAGAGAGGCAAATGGGCCTACTCGGGAGCGAGAGCAGGACATGCGCCCGAAGGCGGGGCACTAGCGAGATAAACGGCGGTGCCCACTCCACCGCTCATTCGTCTTTCGCTTAGCCTCCGCTATGTAAACCGGCCTTGTTGTGAATCTAAACAAAATCGGTCAGTCGTCGTTTTGTTGCCGTAAGAGCAGCGCGTCGGAGGTTCCGCGCTTTCGGGTTGAGCATGTTGCGACAGTGAACGTAGCCGGCAAAATGCACGCGTTGTTTGGTGAACAGAGCCCGTATGCGTACCGCGGAGGAGCCGCCGGTGGTTACTCAGCCGGAGTGACACCTTATGCCTATGAACAATACCGCTATGGATATGGAGCTCCCTACCTTCACCCCCATCAACAACACGTTGGTGCACCTAAAGACATGGTCAAGCCGCCTTACTCTTACATAGCACTTATAGCTATGGCCATACAAAACGCTCCTGAACGACGTATAACTCTCAACGGTATTTACCAATTTATTATGGAAAGATTTCCTTATTACAGAGAAAACAAACAAGGCTGGCAAAACTCCATAAGACACAATCTAAGCCTCAATGAGTGCTTTGTGAAAGTGGCAAGAGATGATAAAAAACCTGGTAAAGGCAGTTACTGGACTCTTGATCCTGATTCATATAATATGTTTGATAATGGCTCGTACTTACGCCGTCGGCGTCGATTTAAAAAGAAAGATGCGCTTAGAGAAAAGGAAGAAGCTTTAAAGAGACAACAACAGCTGCAACAAGCTCAGGAGGCACTCACTGCTCAGGAGGCACTGACTGCATCCGACACACTAGGACAACAACGTGACGTTAAGCCTGATGTCAAACCACGAATCTTCGAATGTCGACCGAAACGAGAACCCGGCGCAGACTGTGCAAGATATGACAAACCTGTCGATGGTCTTGATGACTTCAGTGAACCTCGACTTCCAGCTTCCGCAGTTTATTGTTCACCTCAACCGTATTCGTTGGTGGCCGAGGAATTTCGAGCCGCTACATCGGGGTGGTATGCGGCGCCCGAACCTCCGGCGGAACAACTGCCTCCGGCGTTCCGCGACCTCTTTGAACCGCCAAGCTGCCAACTAGCCGGGTTCCGCAGTGGTTCACCCGTACCAGACGCGTACCGTGCGTCGCCACCGCCACATCACCATTATCGCACACCGGCACCTTCATACTATCATCACCAAGCCTGTGTTGCCGCAGGTCCCGCGCCAGCCCATAAGTCCTACTGAGACCTAGCTCTCAGGTAAGCTTCATTTCATGTTTCCTAGTGTAAATGCTTGCGCTCTGCGATGTTTCTTTCCAAGTAGTGTAGCGTTCGCGAATGCCGCTGTGCGTGTCGGTCAGCCGCTCCGTCGGGCCATCGAGGGAGCGCCGGTGTGCACCGAGACACTTCGTGACGTGGTTGTGGTTGCAGGAGGCCGGCATCGCTCGGCGCCGAACGGATTTAGCCGCACGCGTCAGTTCCAGAGCGGATAAATATAGCGCAGTAGCCGGAGATGCCGTGGAGGCAAGTGGCGGCGCGTCGATAACCACTGTTTACAGATCGGCGGCCGACCCTGCCGCCTCCCGCTCCGTTCACACCTATAGGTATGTCGAAACTCCACATGTGTTAGAATACTAGACGTAACAATAAGTGGTGACGCGGGCAGGGTGTGCGTGCGCAAGCCCGTGTGAGTGCGCCTGGAATCGCCGTTGGCTCCTCCATCTCTGAAGTTTCAAGGAAGTTCCACAGATGCGGTTGTTTTGGCTTGTTTTGGACATACATCGTACCGTTTTACGGATCTATTTGTTACAGATATACAGGCTGTTTGTAAATTTCTCAAAGTTTGCTTTAAAAGTCTTATAAAAACATTTACTAAGTTTTGTACTTTATCTGTCCAATAACTGACCATCTGGTGACCAAGTGCTCGACCACAAAAAAATATAACAAAAGCGTATGCTTGGGAACCTAATGCTAATGATGAAACAACAATATGTTTCTCGGAGGGTTTAACTAAACGCTAAACAACATGAATGATCACACGTAAACTATATGCCATACCTACACAGCAATCTACTCGACTGCAATAACAAGTACAATTAATTACTTACTCAAACAAACGTGGGACGAACCGTAAAATTATGAATCCTTATTTGCTTTCAACGTGCAAATATTGGCGCGCGAATTGAAGTAGAGCCTCACTGCGTAACTTCTACTTAAGTACTTAGCGTACAAGTAAATACGGCATTATGATGGAGGAATGGCATTCCATTTTTCTCATAGAAACAAAAGCCGTTTTCGTAATAAGTATTTTCTTCACATGTTAATATCCTTGCACCTACGAATGAATATGTAATATTTTTTAAAGTATAATACATTATGTAGGATACCTATGTATGATAATTTTGTCACTTAAGTAGTATATATCAATATTCTGATACACCCCAATGTACTAATTAGGCTACTTAATTTTTTCTTTTTTAGTATTCCGTATCTTTCCACGATTTAACTTTTTTTTTTTTTACTAAGTAAAACACGCCGAATATAGTTAAACAGTTACTTTCTTCTATATTTCGATTACACCTACAACATAATTATACAAATTGTGTATACTTAGAATATTGGTTTCCCGTCGTAAGTCATAAAGATTCCTATTGAGAAAAAAACCGACTAAAGGCGAGTCCGGCCGTTCGTTCAATTATAACCTTAAAACGGCATTAAAATGAACTCTGTTATGAAGGTCCTTAAATATTTATTTTATTTCATTCTTAGTAGTTATTGTTATAGGTGTAACAGAAATACATCATCTGACAAAATTTCAACTGACACACGGACGAATAGACAGCAGAGTCTTAGTAACACAATTCCCGTTTTTTACCCATTGGGTACGGAACCGTAATAAAAGCAAAATTAAGATAAGTTCCTTAGAAATAATCATAAAACCAACGCCCTTCGTATTTTCTTAAATGTTAAGTTGCAACTAAATGCCTAATAGGTACGTATGTAGTAGTGTTATGGAGGCCCGGAGGTTAAACACTCGCACGGGTGACTCGCCGCCCGACCAGGGTGCTTACTCTTGAAACCAATCTCAATGTCAATGCAATTTCAATCCAATAAAATCTCAATAATTATCCAATGTCAAAACTATACAACCACAATCGTAGCTGTTAAAGTAGCATTCAGAGAACAAAATATTAAGCCAAACTCAAATTCATTTAGTTAATGAAATATCCACGTAATACGGATGCAATGGGCGCTAGTGTTGCAACTCAAGAGTACGAAATTTCACAATGTCAATGTCGATCGATCGGAATTGGGTTCAAGAGTAAGCCCCCAGAACCAGGCCCGAGCGCGCCACGCGCGCCTCAAGGAGCCATCAGACCACCACAGATGGGGCCTAACAGGGCTGATGACGATACGGAACCGCGGAAGTCTTAACGGGTTGCCGGGGCTTCAGCTCGTAGTGCAGGAGTAGGAACAGGATGGTTTTTAGTCAGTAAGAGCCTGACACTCCCTCCCGCCCTCACCCGGGCGGGAGAAGTCATTGGGTGATATTCCACCCTCAAAAAAAAAAAGGAGGTTCGGTTCGAAAACCAACAGCAAGTACTAATGGAATGGTACAATGGAAAAAGTCTTTTCCGAGATGTAGTTACTAAGATTAAGTATTTAGAGAACACCGTCAAACGATGAAGGAAACAGCTTGAAGAAACCTGGGTTTATAATTTCTAATTATATGTTTGAAATCGCCAAACTGCATTGAGCGAGCGTGATGATTTATGCTCAAACCTTCTCTGTATTAGAAGATTCTTGTGCCCAATACGTATTAAAATGTGAAAATCTCAAACAAATGTTCAATTCAATAATGACCGCCTCGTTGGCCGAGTGGTTGCAAGTGCGACTACTGGACAAGAGGTCTCAGGTTCGATTCCCGGGTCGGGCAAAATATTACTGGGTTTTAAAAAAAATCTCAGTAGTAGCACGGAGTCTAGAATTGTGCCCGGTGTATAGCAATAGCCTCACCCTCTACTACATGGGACTCATAACATAAATAGCGAAAAGTAGGTGTTGCATTGTACAGTGGCATTAAGTGCCACCTCTGTCTACTCCTTCGGGAATAAAAAGGCTTGATGTTATGTTAAATATGTTATGCGTTAAGTATTAGAACACTCATTGCCTAACTATCCACTGGCACATGCGACAGTGAAGCAAACTTGTGTGCTTACTTCTGGAACCAACCTCAATGTCAACTTGAATCCAATAAAATCTCAATAATTATTCAATGTCAAAACTTTACAACCCCTATTGTATCTGTTAAAATAGCATTTAAAATACGGAATATAAAGCAAAACTCAATACCATTTAGTTCATTAAATATCCACGCAATATAGATGCAATGGTCGCTAGTGTTGCATCTCAAGAGTATGAAATTTTCCAATACTAATGTCGATCGATCTGAATTGCATCCAAGAGTTAGTCCTCATGGCTGGGAAGTACTCATTAATTTTCGATTTTCCCAGTCTGGAAAACTGGAAAATGGGAAGAACTTAAACTTAACGATAGAACTTGAATCCATTTAATAAGTACCTACCTATATAATACTTTCTAGATACCACTTAAGATTGAGCGATTTGTTAAGTTATGCTATCAACAACCAATACACAAAAATTCTCTTTCGTTTTAGAGACTGAGTGATTGAACCACGGTGCGACTGACTGACAGACAATACACAGTCGAATTTACTAGCCGTAGAAAGCTGAATTTTTGCATGAATATGTAGGAAGTAGATTTTTACGAAGCAAATAAGGATCGCACTAGGAGAATGAAGCGAGGTTAAGTTACTTACGGTTACTTAGCGAGGCTCGCATGTATATTTCATATGTCAAACGAGGACTCGATGTTCCTCCTTCAACATATTAAGTACCTGTCTAAAAATAAACAATAAAATCTCTCATCCAAATATATAAAAAATCCAATAACAAGTGCAAGTTTGACTGTAAGGTATTTTGATTGCGTAAGGTAATTTGATGAACAACACACAAATCTTCAACTGTCTAACTTGTTATCAACTGAGTCAGTCGAATACGCTACAATTTTTTTTAACGGGTGAAAGTCATCGAATGGCTACTCCCGCTTGGGTAAGGCGGGAGGGAGTGTCAAACTCTTAATGACTAAAAACCATCCCCTTCCGGGTTACCGGCAGCTTCGGTAACCCGTTAGGTTCTCCGCGACTCCGAATCGGCATCAGCCCTAATACAATACGCTACAATAAGAGCTTTAATTCACTATGCGAGTAGGTAAAAGGATTCTTTCGTCTCTTCTCATCGTTATAAAGAACAAGAGGCGCGATGTATTGGATCTATATATTCAGGATCTGGGCGGAGAGTCGGAACATCAGTAGGAGGAACACCTCATAAACCACGAATGTCGTAAAACCTTACGATTGAACGCTATAAATATTTTAACGCTCCACTATATTCCATAAAACATAGATACATATGTAGATAAAGTATTATTTATTATGTGTCGGCAAATACTTATCGATCGAACACCAGTATACTGTATAAGCAATACATATTTTATTGTTGTTATTATATTATACCTAGCTAAAAATAAAATATTCTCTAATTCTTCGAAGCGTGAAGGAACAGGTATTACGTACACAACATCATATTTTTTTAATAATTTCAATTTAGCTTCAGTACATTCATTGATAATGCGGTTTTCTTAAACCAACTTGCAAATTTTATTTTGTTTGCTTATTACTATGAAAAGTTAAGTAGAATTTCGATGGTATTAGAATATGAATGTTTAATAAATTCAGAAATAATATTCACTTTTAACATACAAAAATAAAATAACATTACCTCTATATCTTGTCGTCGTACATATCGGATTACATATTTCGTTATAAGTACATATTTTTCCCCATTTGCATTTTATTTGCCACGTAAGAGGAAGAGGACTGAGGTTATTGTCCTTGTTCAATAATGAAAAATTCTAGGCTCCTTGTCAAATGTAACCTTAGTAGGTTGATCAGCAGTCGAATGCAGTGCAACCAATCACAATATATGCAGCTCTATACAGAGTTATTCACTTGGTGACTGCTTGGTTGCGCTACCAATCTGGTGGCGTGACCTGTTCGGCCAGCTTCAACCCATTTTTTTTTTTAAATCGGTTTATTAATAACTAAAACCTTCTCCTATAAGTGTTATAAAGACTTTTTGAAAAGCGCATCAAAGTCAGTTCAGCCAATCGCAAGACGTTCACACAATAATAGAGGTATATATATATATTTTTTTGTCAGTTAAAAGAAGGCAGTTCTCAGTTTAACCTATGTATGTACTTATGTTGCGATTAGAGAATAGAAATTTCGGTTCGGTTTTCAGATAAGTGTTTCTTCAGGAGCAGGTATTAGTAGGTATATTAATTGGTTTCAATAAAGCAGGTTGAATTCCGTTTCTAAAAGTGGTTTATTAAAAAATATAATAAGTATTGTTGTTTAAACACATGATGCATTTCGCTACCGCTAATATAGTATCCGATGTGGAGCTTTAAATTGCAAAAAATATAAAATAACCCCGGTGCATTCACCTTAACCAAGTTCTCCTTGGTTAAAGGAATTTAAAAATTGAAATCAATCAACACTATCCAATGTTTTTAACAATTAGTAGGGATTTTTTAAAATATCTAATTAAGATTCTGTTAGCTTAATTAAAACTTAATAATTTATCATACTTCGTTTAGAAAACACGTCAAGTTAAATATTAAATTTATTTAAGTGATAATCTAAGAGTCAATTGAAGTAGGAAACATCAGGATTGTTCAAGATGGGCGGGTCATATCTGACTTAATAAAGGATTGAGACTAATAAGGTTTCTCGACGTTTTTCCTCAACGGTACCATATGATCTGTACATGTAAGATTCAAGTTGGAAGACAAATACGAACTAATTATTATTAACATTATTCTAGATCTGAAAACATACTTTTGATCTGGATATTAGAATAATTTATATAACTATATCTACCTGAGTAATACTTAGTCTTTGTGAAAATATCTCCTCGCATTTAACTTTATTTTCTTTCTAGCTCTCCAATGATTTTCCAAGTTCTGATTAAGTAACGCCTGCAAGAAAATTAGATCATAATTATTATAAACAGCATCGAGCTGGATTGAAGAGTTTTAATTCTTATCTACTACTAGCTTTCACCCGCGGCTTCGCTCGCGTCACAAAAGGATAAAAAGTAGCCTGTGTGACATATACCAACACACACAGCGCCATCTATACCAATACTTTTATTTTCTCTCGGGAACATCAAATTTTCCCGGAATAAAAAGTACCCTATTATTTAATCCAGACTTCTAACTTTACGTCTGCAAAAATTGAAAGCAATCGGTTTAGTAGTTACGGCGTGAAAGTGGAACAAACAAACAAACTCACTTTCCCATTTATAATATTAGTAAGGATAGACATCAATGTCTGTAGATAGACATCAATTCTGACAGTCAACTATCAGAATTTTAGGTTATTAACAACCTATGATTTCGAAAGTTTTCACATATAATGTGGTTACAATTTGAATCAAAACTTGATCGTAAAATCACTAAAAACATCTCCTGAAACTGCGTCGTTTTTGTACAGTCATGTAAAAATGTATACCTATGAGGAATATCTCGTTTCGGAGGTTCAAATTATAGTCATTCACAATATTCTTTTCTAACCAACAAACCAATCAACTAGTTAAAATTCAGTAAATTGTATTAGAATCAAGTAAACAGTCTAATTTAATTGTGAATTGAACTATGTATAGAGTCTACTCAGGAAACGATGTGTTACTTAGGTACTTAGGTTACTTAGGTAGTTTAAACAAATAGTTAAGTGTAACCCCATAAAGATCCTGTCCCTCTATGTAAATTGTACCCACATTTGCCGGAGGAACTCCAAAATGCAGTCAATCTCTGTTTCCACACGGCTAATGGATTTAAATCTAATGCACTTTGTCAAGCAGATTAGTCAATTGCTACGACAAAATGTTAAAATCGTACTAAGAAACATAGTGCATTGAACTATAAATCATACATTCATAAGATCTAGAAGATTCGACATTTAAAATACCGTATAATGGTGCTCCCACACTGCACTTATATAACGTTAGAGACTGACTTAACATTTAACGAATTGTAACAAAAGTAAATACTAACTATTACTAAATATATACAACTTAAGATAAAAATTAAATAAAAGAAAACTAAAAAAAGCTATTTACACAAAGCATTGAAAAATTCGTCCGCAGCGATGTCAGTAAAAATTTTTTCTTTTTTCAATTTTTTTAATTAAGTATAACAAGCGTTGTAGTAGTAATATGACGTGTTACACGATGTTATCGTGTTACAAAATGTGGTATAACGTTATACAACTGCTGTGTGGGAGCACCTTAAGTCTCTAAACCCAATAAATTAAACACGGCCAGGTTTTGTCTTCAATGATTACTGTTTCTGTTGTTTTTGTGCTTGATTGATCAACGTCCGCATTTCTAATATATATATTACAAAATTTCCAAAAGTCAGTCAATCTAATATATCTGCAGTTTCAACAAAAACCACTTTAGCTTATCCATGCAAAAGTGTATGGGGAAGGTTAAGGATGATTAGTCTCATACACATAGAGCTGAAAAACAGATTTTTTGAGGAAAAGCTTAAATGGAATATGCAAGGTTCTCTACATAAAATGGCATTTTATTTAAGGCTAACTTTTTATTGACCCCTACGTGGGAAATCCTCATGGAGTTCATCGCCTGGGGACGACGAACGGAACTGTCAGATATTACTCACTTAAACCTACGTCGGTGTCCCATCTCACACGTGGGTACGAGGGTGCAGGAGTCACATTCTTCCGCAGCCCACGAACTCGTGGAGGCCTGCCTTGCCAGGCCCTACCTTAAGATGCACATTAAGATTTAAAGCTGACCTACTTTATATTTTATGTATATCATTTGGCTGGACAAACAGTTAACCCTAACTAACTTTTTAAAGTTTTTTACCAATGGAAGTTCGTTGGGGACTTTTCATATTTCGTTAACCATACGTTGTGTTTCGAACATTACGTATTCTAGTGTTGAGAGTAACGTCGTTTAAAGTCAAAAGAATTTGTGAGTAAATAACGGTCGGGGATTTTAAGTACTCATTCAACTGAATTGATTGTCTTCTATGAATAAGAAGGTTTACCACAGGACAAAAGGAATCATCCTTTTCTGTGTTCATAATGCCTAACAACTGACAACAGACCCCAAGAGATGTAAATATTTATCAAGCCGAATTAATGATCATGGAACCTTTTACGTTCAAATACTTAAATAACTTAATAATACTTTTTCACAAATGCGATATCGTATAGTACCTGTACACGTAATCCCTAATAGGTACTCATTTACAAGCATTACACGAGAACTTAATTCTGGTTTCGCCATAAACACTAGAAAATATAAATGTCATCATCGTACTTAACCGATTTGGCTATAAAAGCCATAGCAATATGCAACTTAAAAAAAATGGAACTCGTTTATCTACTTATATCAGCAATGCACGAAGCAGATACCCTTAGATAAGAAAAGCCTTATCATGTAATATCGTTAATCTATACGGAAGCGAAACAGTTAATCTTCTTAATACATCCGGTAGGTAGACTAAAACAGAATTTAAAAATGTAACTCAAAGACCACAAAAAAAGAAGTAACGTATAATAATGCTGAAATAACAGGGCCTATAATTTCAACATTCTTTTTCGTTTTCGTTGTTTTAGTAGCTGTATCTTAAAATCTATCTAAGCTAAGTACATTTTTAATGGTCATTCCCAATTTTCTTGGTCATCGAATCAAACCTGAACTGCTGGACCAGTTTCGCTAATTCTATTCTTATTTTATAGGGTCAGAGCCCAATTATGAATGAAAAAATTTAAATTTTCGACGGTGAAATCGGAAAGTAGTCCTCATTCGTAGGGGCTAGTAGTTTGTATGGTTTTTTTTAAAGGGGGAAAATCATCGAAGTGCTGCTCCCGCCTGGGTGAGGCGGGAGGGAGATTCTTACTGACTAAAAACCACCCTGTTGGTATGAGTACCTGTCTACCGTGTAATCAATGTTGTAACTGAGTACAATACCTCCATGTTCCTTATTTATTTCTTATTTCAACATCAATATAGGCACTTAATAAACGGCCCAGATTTTTCACTATACAACATATCTTAAGCTCGATTTTTATATTTACGTGTTGGACGTAGTTAGTTTCTAACTTCCTCAACACCGATCATGGTAGATATCCAAGCCACGCGCACCAAGCGCTTCGCGTCAAGCTTCCTTGGGCGTACTGCTTAGGAATGGAATTCTTTAGTCGCGGAGAACCTAACGGGTAACCGGGGCTCCGGCTCGACGTGCAGGAGAAGGAACGGGGTGGTTTTTAGTCAGTAAGAGTCTGACACTCCCTCCCGCCTCACCCAGGCGGGAGCAGTCATTCGATGATTTTCCCCCCTTAATAAAAAAGCAATGGAATTCTTTGCCAGAGTCTGTATTTCCTGAAAGGTACAACCTGGGTGTCTTCAAGGCCCGAGTGAAAGGGTTGCTTATGGGACGACGAGCTCCAACGTAGACCGCATCATCGGTTACCACCAGGCGAGATTGTGTCAAACATCGGTCCATCAAATATAAAAAAACTCTTCGATCTTTTGTAATTGTGACAGACGAAGGCAAATAAATTCATAGAATATCCTCAAAAAAGTTTTAATACACATAGCAGACGAACAAAATTGAAGAAATTCAGAACGTACCTACTCTCAGTTATTACCTCATCGATTATATTATTAAGGAAAACGATTATCTAGGTCAAGGATAAAATGTGAATTGGAAAATCATCAAACTTTTCAACAATCTTACATTTGGGTAGAATCGAATTTCAGGTTGCAATTCTTTTGACTCTCGCGAAGCATACAATTGCTATTTGACTGAACTGTCATACGATTAGATTTTTGTCTAACAGTCGTTACGGATGGATGCTGAAAACTGGTCTGGAGCTGTGAAGAATCAAATCTGTTAAGATTATAACAACGCTTAAAGTAAACTAAGTAATGAACACAGAATGTTTGTTTGTCGCAGGTATGGCGGAACAAGAAGATAGCGGGAGGCTGAGTGCAGGGGTGACGCGAATATTTAACGTGTCTGGAAGAGATGGCGACATAGTGTTGTAAGAACTTTATTCCGCGTGGTGCACATATTGTAGCAAACGTCTCGTATTTATAAAGTTCAAGCTATCATCGTATCTCCGCAAGAGATATTATCGAATGATAGCACCCGAAGACTTATTTTAGTATGTATATTCGTTTACCTATGAACTTAATATAATTAATAGATAAGACGAAATCCGATAATTCCGAAATAACGTAGCGTTCATTATTGTCGTAGGTAAGTAGGCCAGGACATAAATAAGTTACAGTATTACCCGTTGAAACAGTATTATGTACATGCACACTGTACGTACCACATGATCTGTAAACAAATATTATTAGATAAATGTAAATATTTAGTTATTAATACCTAGTAATTGTATGAGGTGTAGATTCTCCCCTGTAAAAAAAATAATAGTTTTTCTGAAAACATATTTAGGGGATGTGCTGTTATTCTAGTCTGCTACTTTAGGCAAATTTTTGTGTAATAGATATATATACAAAAACAAGTGAAAATATAAAAGCGAATACAAACTACCTACTATGTACATGGATTTAGATGGCAACGAACGAAATAATAACATTAAGTAATGTATTGACTTATACAATCAACAAGAATATTATCGTCACTGCATTGTATCTATTATATTGTTATTAAATATGTTTAAAAACGACTTTATGCATTCTGAGTGAATAGTTTTCCTACCCTGAATAGATTGTTGCAGTCTACTTATTACATTAAATATATAAATAAAGTACAACAAGCAGACATCAAACTTAACAATGAACTTAGTATATTGAGTAAATTATATATATACGTATGTATGTTAATCTGTACAATTAAGGTTAGCAATTAGTAGAATTGTATATTAAGACACGAAGAAATATAAACAGCCAGTCTCTTAAATATAATGTCCAATGCAAAGAAATACTATATAGCACTTCAAATTATAGTACCTATCAAGTTGAAACCGAGACAAGGCATTACTTCAATTGAAAATTTAGGTTTTAGTGTATAGACAGCATTTTTCCTAGCGTAGGTGATAATTAGTAAAAAAAACTGTAAATAAAAATGAATTTTGATGGATTTCTTCTCTTGGATATTAGCAAAACTAAACAATATATTATGTAGATTAGGCAGGAATCAAAAAAGTATATTTATGTGCTTCTATTATAAAATGAAATAAGTTCAAAAATGTAATATACAAATGGTGATATGATATTATTGTATCCGACGAACTTGTGTTGTTTATTGATATTCATAATAACTATTTATTAGATACAAAGCAATCAAACTACAGCTTTCACTTACAAATACTAGCTTGTAAAATGTTAAATCGAATCATGTCTCTCACGTACCTATACCGATTAATTATACACGTAATTATAATTAAGCATATACACATTCAATTCCATGAAATACCCACAATAAATAATAACATTATGAATATGGAGATTTATGTAATTAAATGAATTGTAATTTAAGTTAAATAAATACTCGTTCATACAACTGTCAGGAACGAAACGATTTGCAGATTACGTAGAACAATGAAATATATATTCGACTCAGGGAATAAGTATTGTGTATTTAGTGGGTTCATATGTATACATGTAATATATTATGCATTTTCTACCTTCGTAAAGTGAATACAAGTTATTACATTTTCTGCTAAATTTAGAGTCAAATACAATATACAAGAGTGCGTACGTATCATGTGAACTTACATGATTATGTATCAATATAATGTATTTCGAATTCACGTGTTTTCACTATAGTAAAATGTACTTTAGCAATATTCTCACAATGCATCATTTCTTGTTTCACATGTAATAATACAATATTAGATGACCTACCTATTAGCTGATAAATTTGTGATAATTATCGTAATCGTGTGTACATAAATGTATTTAATAATAAATGTTTATTTGTATTTAGCATATCGACTTTATTCGTGTTTATCATTTTAACAAACCCTAATGATATACTTTCCTTTGTTGGTATTAGAAAGAAAGAGCGGATTGTTATTAAAATGTTTCTGTTGTCGTCTTAAAATGCGGTCAATTACAACTAAGTATACGGTATTCATTGCTAAAGGTTAACGACCCCTTAATTTTTACGAGTTCTTAAATGCTATCTTAATTTTGCTGCAAAAGAAGAATATACAAATCATGTGTGTATTTTACCCATATTTTCAGCTTTGAGTTAATTAGATCACTTTCATTTGTCAGACATCATTCAATATATTTACAATTACATGATTTACGTCATTTCATACTATATAAAGTTTTACGTTTAATACAAAATACGGAATATGAGAGCTCCAATCAGTTAAGTGTTGAGATTTCTTTAAACGGTCGATATCGAAAAAAAGTAAAATACGTGTGTCAGCCTGAGACCGTTCGTTAGTGAGTAATAATTTTAGCTTGTTTGTAGTTCGAATGAAACGAAACGCACAAGTGGCCACTCGGTCGATTGGATACGAGACTGATTTTATCGAATCATCACTCAATCAAACATTGGTACACAGATTTTTAGAAGTTGAAGCAGGGCCATTGAAAAAACGTGTCAATAAAATTAGGCAGGCAAGTAGGTAGTTTGAGTAGGCGTACATTGAATGCAGCGTGCGCTGGATCCAAGTCATTTTATCAAAGGTAATTTAGAATCATTTTCTTTTAAAGTGACTTTCATTTAACGATCATCAGTAGGTACCTCATATATTAAATTAGAGCACATGTAAAGTATGATAAGAAAAGTTTTGGGCGGTTTAATTCCGAAAATTGTACAGTTGAGCAAAATGCCAGAAGTATCTACCTACCACAGATACCTACAAAATATGTCCATATCATATCAATTTTAACACAGAGAACACTGAGGACAATAGGTTAACGCAGGAAACTCTTGGTTTTTCTGTGATTGACCTGTTATTGTATTCTATGTGTAACCAGTATAAGACAGTTTATATTCTGAAGATTTTTAAAGTAACGTACCTCCACATTAAAGTCAAAGTAATTATTTCAATTAAACCATAATTTGAAACGTTAATTTAAAGTTATTATTTAAATGTTTTTATAGTCACATGGTATGATTCTGTAATACTAAGTTATAGCTAAATAATTCAAAATAATTCACAAAAAAGAAAATCGCAATAACGTATTAAATAACTTTGCATATTGTTTTTGTTTTTACTTTTTTTCCTCTGCGCCATCACTGCTATAATGTAGATTTGTTCTGTTCAATAAAACTAGATAATATTGCATTGTATACCTACGCAAAGTTGAGGGAAAAGTAACACAAGTTAAGGGAACTAGCGACTCCTTTCTTTTAAAATAATAGTTGCCGTTCGACGTTCTTATAAACGCGCGTTTACGCCGCAACTTTATGGCAATCTTTGAGCAGTTTCCTTAGCCAACTAGCTCAATCTTCGCATTTTGTTGACATTGATGGTTAAGGGAACCTAGAACTTAGAAAATAGTTGTCCTGTGGACGACCACCGCTATTCGAAAGTCGAGTTACGTGTGGGCAATCCAACCGAAATGTATAATAACAGCTAGTTGCTAGTAGCTGCAATAACAGACAGATGTATATTGTTTATCATTTGTCTAGCCCGGGTAAGGCGAGAGGGAGTGTCAGACTCTGACTAAAAACCACCCCATTCCTACTCCTGTACTTCGATCCGATGCCCTGGCAACCCGTTAAGTCCTACGCGGCTCCTATAGCATATTGTTTAATGTTATTATGTAAAACTAGTAAGTATTTGAAAAGTATGAAGAACCCAAATCAACTTGACAAAGAGCAAATAACAACCAACTTACATCTGTTTCAAGCTCTTTATCAATCCTTTGTCCTGTACCTGTTCCACTTATTTTCTCTGGTTCTCATGTTCTATTTAATGATGAAAGTGTATGAAAGCGAATGTTGTTATTAATTTTATGTTTCACTGGTGATGGTAAAGCATTAAGAACCGATTGGAATGAACCAAACACTTCGTAGAAAACCGGCATGAAGTAACGCTTGCGTTGAGTTTGGCAATGAGGTTATCACTAATTTTGCGACCCTTAGACAAACCGCCTGCCTTTTTATCCACTTATTCCATAAAGAAGGCCTTGTGTCATCATCATCATCATCATCATCAACAGTCGAAAGACGTCCTCTACTAGGCATGTGTAAATCACTGATATCTAGAAAAATCGAAAAAATCTCGCGCAAAACATAGTGGATCACAAACCATTACGTGTGATACGAAAAGTTTAGGATGATTGATTTAATACAAAGACCCAGTTTCATATGAAATTAATGATAGTTATCCAGTTAATCTATAAATGTATAACCAAACTATAAACTAAACGAAAGTATATTGCCGCATCGTTTTGTATGATGATGGTCAATTTGAAAAAAGAGAGAAGCCAGCGAGTTACTGCAATTGCTCAAGGCAGCACAGTGTGGGACTTTATTCTGCAATGTGATGAGTTCATTACGGTGTACACTATAATATACAAACTAATTAGTTAGTAAGTAAAATCAATAGTAACAAAATATCTGTTCATGGTTAGTACTCAAGTCACGATCTACACGTGACATTCCAATGACGAATAAAAAATATCAAGTGTCGATACAAGAAGCTGAGGTTGGTCACAACAATGACTATCCACCCACCAGTTATGATGACACGTTGATCCTGTTTACATATTGAGTGGAAAGGTCTTGTTATGCTGGTCCTTAGCATCGTGTGCCCAGTCGAGAGGCTTCGTCATTTAGTGGCGGATTCTTCAATTTGACATGCCACCGCCCGCGTAGATATCATTTTTGTTTTTATTAAATACAAACGACTGTCATTTTAATACCAACACAATATATTGTACGAAAAAGTTATACATAAACTCTTTAGTATTATTTATTTAAATGTACCAATGTAGTCACCTAATTCTGCAATGAGGACGACCCAGGTATGCTTAAAAAGAAGGACTGCATCCTGTGACTGACTGAAGGAGTTTAATATATTGATGAAACATGAAATCACTCCATAGGCATTTATTAAAATGGCATAGAAGTTATATAGAAGATACAGAGAATGCAATAAAAACTACATAATGATATTGAAAGTGATTGTGAGGATTTTTTGGCCCCGCTACACGCGTTACTGTGGCGTAATGATACTTGACTTATAAACACAAATTATTAATGTTAAGCCGTTAGTAACTACGATAGTCTAGTTTAGTTTCAACAGCACTCTCATTTCCCCCATCATAAATAGTCACTTACAGACTTTACAAAGGTAAATTTAAAATAAGGAATTTAGAGACATGTGTGCTGTTAGTACACCTATTAGTACTTACACCAATAATTTCCTACTGTTCTTAAGTATCGTAGTATCCAACAAACATTTACCGACATAATTAGTTTCCATACATATCCAATTAACGTTTTGTTTACAAATCTTTTCGCAAATTAACATTCAAATGTCTGTAGTTATTGTGGAAGGTAAGGGGTGCTTATTTTGGCAGAACATCCACTGAAGCGGTCAATGAACCGATGTTTATTGTTTTTCTACTACACCAATGTTGATATTGGCACAAATTCTATTTGTTTAAAATGGTAAGTCTCGTACAAACAGGTAGATTTACGTAACCATGACCTTATAATAACACAATACAAACGCGAGCTGCGATGCGCCCATGAGTACTCGTGCTAAGTTTACCTACCCACCGTGAGATCAGTGCGATTTCAATTATCTCAATTTATTGCGCAACTTGGTTGGGATTTTTTCGGAAATGCATTGTTCGTACTGACTCCATTTGTAGCTACATTTTCCGTTTTACTTATTATAAATGGAAATACGAATATCAATGTATAAATACGTATTTTATACAAGAAAGCGTTTAAACGACCTGTTCGAGACGAAGACATTCTACACGTACAGAGTAGATGCATCTCTCTCTACGGGTGTTGATGTATAAATATTGGTTGACGGAAAACATTCAAGAGTGGTCTTCCAAACCCATTTCATATTTACCAATTGTTTTTCAGATCGTATTTTTCTCGAATGTTGTCAGAGTGAGCTCGTTAAATATCTTATTTAGAAAGGTAGGTACCCAATGCTAATGGTGTAAATAATTCTTACTTAAATTCATTAGATGACAATTTATCACATTATCGGGTCTATAATTAGGTACGATAGAAGAAAAGAATACAATATCCCTTTTTTATAAGAACAAGGAATCAGTAAAGTGCTAAATTTCGGACATAAATAGGATGCGTGCAATACCTAATTGAGATTTTGTAGCATATACTAGTCCTCATTCTCAGTAGTTGTAATGAGATCAGCTACTACAAAACTGGAGCCACATTTTCAGCATTCCCAAGTTAAAGTATTCGAAATGAGTCAGAGTATTACTTTCGTGGAGATCGGAGGTCAACAACCAACTCATCTGTATGGATTATCTCTGTCTTAACGCGATAATTTAATCCTTTGTTTATCCAATGCCTCTAATAGTCCCGATGCACCGGAACGGTAAGCATCTGAGCACAGTCATGTATCATACTCGAACATATAAGAAAATAATCCGCCCGCTTGAATTACGACCGGGGGTTGATATTACAACGGGCTTCGACGTTTCAAGAAAGTCTCAATTAGAGAATAAGTTATTGCTTCTAAAACTCTGTTGTTCTTGAAACATTAAATTCTAAATTTAGACGTATTTCTGGCTAATCTTGCGCATGGTTTTATGGTGGATACAACTAGTTTGTTTAATGGTGATTAATTTCAGATTTTTATGTCAAATAATGATAGGTAGAAGCACACCAAGTAGGCACAGAAACGTTAACGGTACACGAGGAAAATTGATTGCTTTCAAAATGGCGTTCGACGCCTTTTGGCTCCCCTCCCGAGCACGCCCCCTTATTGCAGATGTCAGTTTATTCACAATACCGTCACCATTT